CGATAGATCGGACACTTGGCCGCAGTTAATTGGCCTGCAGAATTTTATGTATACCACTAAATTACTCGATGCAAATGCGCCGACTTCCGCCCTTCCCCCTCCTCGCCCGGCTAATAATTCGAAGCTGAAGCACGCGCGACAGAACGGCTTGGCCGCTCCTCCGTAACAGATTTACGCCGGCTCATTACCCTAATGAAGACGTAACGGGTGAAAAACGAGCCACCATTTTTGCCGAAAAGCGATAATTGCTTCATTCGAGAGAGAGAGAGAGAGAGAGAGAGAGAAAGTGCGCGTCACTGCACTTCGTGGAAATCGAAAATTTCACTCCTTTATCTTTTTTCTCTTTGGAGAAGAAAAAAGAGAAAGAAATATCGAAAGCAACGGTCGGCTCTTCTACGATTTTAAACGAATACCCTTTATTCCGTCCTGACGTGCCCTTCACTTCTCCCGTTTCACAGTTTTGTGAAGGGATTTAGAGGCATCGCCTTACGTCGCATCCACTGCTGTTATTTATTCGAACTTCGATAATCGAATCGAATAGTAACTTTAACAATATTCGTTGACAGGAATTCGATCTTGCACGAATTGAAATATATCGCACGCATGTGATTCGAGTCGACAATTCCTACAAGCGTGGAATAGCTACAGAATTCGCGAGGCAAGATTCACATTTATCCCTAATTTCGTCGTCGAGTAGCTCCTGAGAAAGAAAAAGAGAGAGAGAGATCTGGAAGCTGCGATCGAAATCGCCCGAGGCGAAAGAAGAGGGGGCCGAAGGGTTGGGCGCGTTTCGTTCGGTGAAACTTGGTCAACCCTAGAGAGCGAACGAACGCTAACTCGACGAATTATAACAAACTTGTAACGCAATATTACCCGCTTAATATTCCCCGCGGCTGAGGATGACAGATTTACGAGTGCTAATGATTCGGTAGCCGGTTACCCTCCCCTCCCCTCCTCGATCGTTCCACAGCGACGAGGATCGAGATGGAACGTTGCCCTTCGTTTCTCCTCCTCCTCCTCCTCCTCCTCTTCTTCTTCTTCGTACCCGGAAATCATTAGGTCCCAAGGTCCCAAGATTTGAAATTTGTCGAGGGAAGTGAAAGGCCTGTGAGAAAAGCGAATGATGGCGAGGATAACGCGATGGAGGGGGGGGGGGGGGGGAAGGAAGAAGTTGGACGAAGCAGCCTCCGCTCGATAGCCGAATAAATTTGGGTAGCTCCCTGTTTTGGCCCCCGGGGCCACGAGGTTTCTCGGACGATCGGCCCTTTCGTAAGCGCGGGGACGAAGGGCGGAAAAGAGACGGCGGGCTCTCTCACGGATGGATTTAATTAAAAAACATAATTTAGAAGGAGGGAGGATAACAGGTAGCTCTGCCGCTTGCTTGGTGGGAACCACGCTCGCTCTTCCCTCTCCCACCCTCCGTCCCTCATGAATAAAATTATTAATCCCCGGAGAAAACTTTCTAACGCGTCCTTCTTATCTTCTAGTTCTTTTCCCGATACGATATTCGATATTCGTTCCGATCCATTGGGATGGAATTAGGAAGATCCGTAATATTCGAAGGAGGAGGGATCGAAGAAATTCGTCGAATTTCTTTTTTTAATCTAACCAAGGATAGAAAAGAGGCAGGAATTAGCGAATAGGACAAGGGTCCTTCGATATCCAAAGTTGTTTCTTTCGGTTTTCGCTCGGTGACGATCGAAGGAGAAACGGCGTTTCCGGAGAGGAACACGGATAATAAAAGCGGTTTTATTCGAGGCGAGTGTGCGTGTTGCACGCGGTCGCATGCAAAGGCCGATAAACAAATAATTAGCATTAGAAACGAGGCACGATATCGCGTACGATCTCCGCCCGTCACGTCATCCCAAAGGGACGACGGACGCATCGAGGCGGAGCGCGGCAACGACTCCGCTTTTACCGCGATCAACCGGCCCATTCCGCGGCCCGCATACGCGATCACTGTTGTGTGCCGGCAATTAAACGAGAAAATACGAGAAAATCTTAAATCGAGGATTTAATTTAATATCCCTCGCACGCATTTATTGCCCCCCTCACTTTTTTACTTTTATATCTCATTCTTTGTCCCCCTCTCTTTTTTTACGCATATTTCCAAATCGATCTCGTCTGTTTACGAGCTCGTTTCATTATATATATATAATGTATATATTCTCTTTGGAGGAAGGAGAAATTCCGCGACTCGGAAAAACGGGCAGTTTCGAGGGTGTCTGGAGCCGCAGGTGGAGCTTCCACTGTCCACTGTTTAATTTTGTCGCCTCGAGACCTCCATCCCCCCTCCGTCGAAAATTTCTCCGCGCGTTTGTTAACGAGAGAGGTCTCTATTTGCGGTGGAAGGAAAACGCAGAGACGTCGGATGCGGTTCGCCACACGCCCAGTTGGCTCGACACCCTCCCCTACGGTTTACCTACGGTTCGCACCCTACGGTTGAGCGGGCCGTTGCGCGAGCCTCAGCTGTCGTGGCTGTGGCTTCTGCTCCGACACCCACCGATTCTCTCTCTTTCTCTCTCTCGCTCGCTCGCTCGCTCACATATTCGTCGACCCTTTCGACAACGTCAAGTAGGGATCATCGGGGCAGAAAATGGCAGAAATATTTCGAAACTCCACTACGTGGTAGTAGAAAATACGATGGAATCGAGTGGATGTAATGGATTCAATTGGTCACACCAGGGACCCGAATTCGACACGCGTCCTCGATCCGCTCGATCGTAAGACTCGACGTAGAATCCGAACGTGGAGATCCGCGAGTTGAGACGAGTGTGAAACTGTGTGTTTCGCTCGCTCGTTGCCGGAAACTTTACGACGACGAGGCAAGGTGTTGCGGTGTTCTCGGAAGATGGCCGGGGAGGGGAGGGGGATGCTGGCTCGGTTTTAATTTATGCGCGGCACAAACCGAGGGCGTTATTAGTCGTAGCTGGCTAGGATGGGCGTGACGTCACGCGGCTAAAACAAAGGATCCTAGATCCTTTGTGCCAAGCCTACGACGCCTCTCTTTCAACCGTGCCGACAGCATTAAGGCAGGGGCCCTCGTATTCGCGCTTTCCTCCTCGCCCGATCGACGAGGCCCTCTGTCGTCGTCCTCGCGCGTCCACGAGCATGCATAAAACATAAAACGGCTCGTCGTCGTCGTCGTCGTGTACGAGGAAGAATCGGAGGGAGGGGGCCTCGATCGAAAGACGACGAGCAGCTAAGTAGACGACGACGACGACGACGACGACGAGGAGGAGAGAGTTTCTCCTCGACTCGAAGGCGCCGCAACGTTCCACGTTCCACGTTCTACGCGTAATTACAGAGCGGTCCCTGTTGTTCTGCTGCTGCTAATATCGCCCTCGATTAATAACCTGCGAACATCCCGTTTTCCACTCGGGATAAAATAGCGAAATCGGGTAATAATAATCTCGTCCCGAAACCTATATCCGGGACCTATATGAGGGCCCGTTAAGTGGAACGAACTTTTTCTCGCGCCTTCGAGCGAGGATATAGAATGAAGAAAAGGAAGAGAGAGAGAGAGAGAGAGAGAAAGAGAGTGAGCGGGCTAATTGAGAGACGTCGTTGTCTCCGCCAGGCCACTGTCATATCGTTCCGCCGGATCAATACGTAGCCTACCTACAACCTGCACTCACGAACCTCGAAGAGGGCGTGGCTCGTACACCACCGGTCGAGAGATACCACTCTACCTCTCCCTCTCCCTTTCCCTCCTCTCTCTCTCTCTCTTCCCTCCCCTTTGTTCGCCCGTTTTCTCGCCCCAGTCGTACGATCCACCCCTTTGGGGTGGAGGGAAACGAGGGAGAAGCGACGCTCGTTCCTGGAAGCGTTACGTTCGAGATGAGTGGATGGAAATTTTTTTTCGAAACGACGCTCTAACGAGGATAGAGCGGATAGAGGGGACGACGACCTCCAGAAAGAGAGAGAGATTTTCTTCCTTTTTCTTTTTTTTTTTTTTTTTAAAGAGCGGAAAGGAGCGCTGCGACGTTGACCGCAAGCGTTGGTTATTACCCTGGCAACCTTGCCCGAAGTTACAAGCACGGGGTGACCACGGGGATTGGTAGGGTACCTCTATCTCTTTCTCTCTCTCTCTCTCTCTCTCTCCGTCGCTCTTTTGTCTCCACGCTCGAAGGGTGCGCGTTGTCTTCGGTTGGTGCAAGCTTGAACCGCGTGGGGGCGTGTCGCCTCGATGGCGCCGGCTGCTAATGGCTACGCGGCCCGCCAGACTTTAATTTCCTGCCGCTTCCGCGGACCCTTTCGCCTTTACCTTTCCACGTCCGAATCCGCTTCGGTCCCTTCTTCCCAGCCTCCACCTCCTTTCGGTAGCCGCCGACCGCCCGTCTTTCCTCCTTCCTATCGACTCAATGTCCAAGGTCATTTGCATTCCGACCGACTCGCCGGGAAAACGCGCAACGATTTTTACGGTGATCGGATCGGGGGATATATCCAGGTGGATTGGATAACTTTCGGCCAATCTCTCTCTCTCTCGTTCCCTTTCGTCTCTCCTAGGATAGGAGCGGCAATTTAGTGTCATTATACACCCTTGGGCGAAGCGCAAGCGGTTTCTTTTTCTTCTTTTTTGGGGGGAGGGGGAGCCGATTTTGTGCCGCGATTATGGACAGAGGATTTCGATATTACGAGGCCGAGTTACCTTGAGAAAGGCGTCTCAATCGGCGGAGCGATTTCGAGAGGGGCCGAGAGGGATCGATGTATATATATATATATATATATATATACACTCGCCTAATTCGCGAACCCCGGCGAATTACCTCGTTATTATCGGGCTTGCGTAATCGTATCGAGGAAGAGCGGGCCCTCGATTCTCCCTTTTCTGTAGTAACACCTGCTCCGGGGTTGCTACAACGTCTACGGCGTATAATAAAATCGATGGATGGATCGATCGATCGAAAAATCTCCCTCCCTTCTATCTCTCTTTCTCTCTCCTCGACCCGTCGTATCCCAGTATCGTAATGCGACCGCCTCGTTCTTTCTCGTTGCAGGATCATCCGGGTCTACGGGGTACACCGTTGGCGATGCTCGCAGCCCAGTGCAACAAATTGAGCAGCAAGAGCCCGCCACCGTTGGCGGACGCGGCAGTGGGCAAAGGGTTCCACCCGTGGAAGAAGAGCCCGCAGAGCAGCGGCAGCTCGCCCCAACACTCCGCCGGGAGCGGAGGAGGAGGAGGAGGAGGAGGTGGAGGTGGAGGAGGAGGGGGTGGTGGAGGAGGAGGAGGAGGAGGAGGAGGAGGATGCACGACGACGGGAGTGAGTCAGAGACCGGCGGCTACGAGCAGCGCCGGAAGCACGAGCGGTGGCTACGCGAGAGCGCCGGTCACGTCGTGCGCGTCGACCGCGCCCCAATACGGCGGCGACCTGTACTTCCCGGGGACGGCGAGCGCCCAACCGGCCGGCGATCCTCACCATCATCAGAGCAGCCTGCTCGGTAAGGTGGAGGGAGCTACGTTGGGCTCGGTTTACGGCCGGCACCCGTACGAGTCGTGGCCGTTCAACGCGATGCCCGGCGCGACTCACGGCGGGATTAAAGCGAGCGACGGTTGGTGGGACGTGCACGGGGCCGCGACAGCCGGCGGGTGGCTCGACGTCGGCGGAACGGTCGGCGTCGGTGTCCACGCCGCCCAAATGGCCAACTACTCGGCCGACTACTCGACCAGCCTTGCCCTGGCCGGCAATCATTTGCTGACCACCGCGACCACCGCCGGCCACAATCTCCTCCAAGACACGTACAAATCGATGTTGCCGGGGGGGCCGCCCGGATTCGGCCTCCACCATCACGCGGCCGCGACGGCGAGCGCGAGCGCCGGTGCCGGTAGCCCCCAGGGGAGCGGCGGTGGCGTGGGCGTGGGGGCGGGCGGCGTTAGCCAGGCGCCCTCGCCCCGCTCCCAAAGACGGTACACAGGGCGCGCGACCTGCGACTGTCCAAATTGTCAAGAGGCCGAGAGGCTCGGCCCGGCCGGCGTGCATCTGAGGAAGAAGAACATCCACAGCTGCCACATACCCGGCTGCGGTAAGGTCTACGGGAAAACGTCGCATCTGAAGGCCCACTTACGGTGGCACACTGGTGAGCGACCGTTTGTTTGCAACTGGCTTTTCTGTGGCAAGCGGTTCACACGTTCGGATGAGTTGCAGCGGCACCTTCGAACCCACACCGGCGAAAAGAGATTCGCCTGCCCGGTCTGCAACAAGCGGTTCATGCGCAGCGACCATCTCGCGAAGCACGTCAAGACCCACAGCAGCAGCAGCAGCAGCAGCGGCAGCAAGGGCAAGGGGGGAGCGGGGAGCTCGTCGGCCGAGTCCTGCTCCGACAGCGAGGACAACGGGAGTCAGCAGAGTCCCACTTCCAGCTCGGTTCCGCCGCAGCCGCAGCCGCCGCCGCCGCCGCCGCAGCAGCAGCAGCAGCAACAGCAGCCAACAGCTCAGCAGCAACAACAACAGGGCCAACAACCGGCTCAACAGGCCCAGCAGCAGCAGCAGCAGCAGCAGCAACAGCAGCAGGCTCTGGTGGCAGCGGCGGCGGCGGCGGCGGCGGCGGCAGCGGCAGCGGCGGTGGCGGCGGGCCAGGACACCACCAACAACACCACGTCCCAGACCACCACCACCACCACCCCCCTCGGCCATCAGCCGACAACCCCCATGACCCCAATACAGATGACCCCGCCACCTCTGACCCCACACCATCCCCACCACCCCCATCTCCCCCCGCTAATGCACCATCCGCATCATCACGCAACCTCCGTCCCGGCGGCGGCCCACCACCCGCACGCGGGGATGAGCATGCACTGAGCCCGGTGGGGCCCGGAGCCGGCTGCGCTTCCTCTGCCGCCGCAACGGCCCTGGGCTCCCCCCTATCCTACCCCCTCAACCTGAACCTGAACCTCCAGAACCACCATCACCAGGCCATCAACCAGGCTCACCCCTCCACCACTTCCCACCACCAACACCATCAGCAGCAGCAGCAACAACACCACCACCACCATCACCACCATCACCATCACCAACACCAACACCAACACCATCAACACCAGCACCACTCGCGTCAGACCAATTCCTATCCCGTGCAACAGAATCCTGGCACGCCGGGGACCGCGCAGACTCCCTCACCCTCGTCCCCCGCGCCTGTACATAGTCTCTAGGTTGACGCGTCGCGTCTCGTCTCGTCTCGTCCACCTTCTCTCTCTCTCTCTCTCTCTCTCTCTCTTTTCTTTTCTTTCGCGGCAGCGATTCCTCTTTCCCCCACTCTGTCCCATCGAATCGAATCGAATCGAATCGAATCGAGTGCGAATCTCGCACGCAAATTTTCGACTTTCGACCGATCACAATTCTCTCCTCGTCGAGCGAGACTGTAACACCGTACAGTCGATCCACTCTCTTTCTCTATCTCTTTCTCTTTCTCTCGTTCTCCGCTTCCTCCCTCTCTCCCTCCCTCTCCCGCCTCCTCTCTCGGAAAGATTCGAGCCTACGTCCCACGCACTCGAATCCACTTACCGTCGATTACTTGTAAATACTTATACATAGCGCGTGAGAAAAAGATATTATTATTAATATTAATATTATTATTATTATTATTATTATTATTATTAATATTATTATTATTATTATTATTATTATTATTATTATTATTATTGCATTAATTATGCGGTTTAATTTGTTAAGCGGTGTAAAGAAGAAGAAGAAGAAGAAGAAAAAAAAAATGAAATTAGATATACAAACGCACTGTCGCGCCTGTACCATACACCGATAACACTTAAGTAGTTGTGTTACATATACACACATACACACACATACACACACACATACATAATACGTATTACACAATACGCAATGCATACAACACGCGCGAGAAAAAAAGAAAAGAGAAGAGAAGAGAAGAGAAGTGAAGAGAAGAGAGGAGAGGAGAGGAGAGGAGTGGAGAGGAGAAGAGAAGAGAAGATCGATGAAAAACGAACGAGACGCGGGCGTCGTAGGTTGTCGTATCGTTCTCTCGCGTTTCGTCTCTCTCTCTCTCTTTCTCTCTGTCTCTCTCTCTCTCTCTGTCTTTCTCTCTCTGTCTCTCTCTCTGTCTCTCTCTCTCTCTCTCTCTCTCTCCCGATATTTCGGAGAGAAATGCGTGCGACGAGGAAATCCCCCCTCCCCTCGACTCGAACGGCCGCGTGTATATACAGCAAGGATTCGTGTATATACAGCATCCGGATTTTTTCCCTCCGCGGCAGATTTCCGAACGTCGAAAATCTGGATTTCAGAAATGTGAATTCGAAAAACTTCGATTCAAATATCCCCGATTACTTTTCCCGTACTTTGCTCTCGCGTGTAATATTCGCGTATTATTTGAAACGAATGAAACTAATTTTTCGAAGACGAAAACCAGATTCTCGCCACTGTCGGTCTGCTCCTCTTTTCTCGATCTTGGATATCGCTATATTATGGATTAATTATTATGGATTAATTAATGAATGAATTAATTAATTATTATCATTAATTATTATTAATAATTATTATTGATGTATTATTATAAAAAATTATAAATTCATTTTAAGAGAGATAAAAAGGAAAATAAACGATGCTTTTGTGAGTAATCGTGTGATTCTCTCTCTTTCTCTCTCTCTCTCTGTCTTCCTTTCTCTCTCTCTCTCTGTCTTCCTTTCTTTCCCTCTCTTTACCTTTCTCACTCTCTCTCTCTCTCTCTCTCTCTCTCTCTCTGAACGCAACCGTTCGTGCTCTCCACACTAAACTGTCTGTCATCCCTCGATTCTCTGTCCTAGCTCCAAGTTCGTCGTTGCTGCGACGCTTCTTTCGGCCCACCCAACGGACGGGATGATGACGGATCCCGCTATTGAATCGCATTCCTTCGCCTCCTCGGCGACGGGGCATAGGATGGACCGGATCGCCCCCACTCGACGATCGATAGTAATAATCGGCATGGGAGTAAAGTAAGTTGATCTCGATTCGCTCGCGTGCCCGGCCGAGATACGCTTCTACCCAAGACGGGACGAGAGAAATCGTCGGCAGTACCCGTGCATTTTGCATCAAAATTATTTATTAACCGGCTCCTTTGTCGGTTCGCGAACGAGATCGCCGTTGCCGCGCCTCTCCTCCTCCCCTCGTGACGTGATTAACCCGAAAAGGCTTTTTATCCGTCCACCTCCCCGAACGTATAACACTCCTGTTGGCCTATTTTTCTTCTCCTTTTCCAGCCCAAAGGCCGCGGATGGAAGGGCCACGGTATCGCCCGAGCGCTCTCGCCTTCGTTATTACCGAGGATGACTCGGCGGCACCGACTCCCGGCCGGACCCTTACTACCTCCGCCTAATGCCTAAATAATGACGCGTGTACGCGACATGCGGCAGCATATAGGCTTCGATAAATTTAATTACCCCCGGCCTCCACGCGTGCAACGTGCGTAGGTAATTCCCTTTTAATCGCGCGGCCCGTTGAAAAGAAAGTACACACAGAATCCGATTTTTTTTTTTTTTTGATGGAGAGAGGATGGAACGTTGGATGGGATGATGAAAGAAACACGTGTGGCGGGCATACAGGTGTGTATATATATATATATATATACTTCTCGTTTGGAGAGAAGGACAAGATGGGTGTTCGAGGGAAACACCACCGAGGAGAAACGATCCCCGTTTCTTTTTAGCACGGTGCACGGTCTAAATCGAATCAATATGGCAGAGATTACGGAATAAGATCGTTATGCAAAGCGTTGGGCGAAGCGAGGGGGCCCGAGACGCCGCATTCCACGGGGGGTGCGGTTAATGTGGAGCTGTCTACACGAGGACAGGGGATGGCTTTTTCGGTGATTTAACCAACGAGGGTGAAACGTTTGTTATTCAATTTGCGACCCCCCACGGTACCAGCCACCCTTCTCCTCCGCCGCCGCGACAGATCATCGCGTCTCACTTCGCCAACTCCGCCGCGCCACCCCACCCTTCCCATCCCGCGAACGCCATTCCACCGTCATCCGTACGCGTGCACGCATTCGCTCCGCGTTTCCTTCGTCTCTCGCCGCTCTCGGGTTGCGTCGTTAAGAATATATATATATATGTGCGTGATTTATTCGTGTTTGGATCACATCCAGGGAAAAGAAGAAGAAGAAACTCTAATAGAAAAGATTAGATTCCAGATGGAAGGAGAATTGGAGGATTTCGATCGAATTATATGTGTGTGAAAAGATTAATTAATATTGGCAAAGAATTTATCGCGAGATATCGAGTATTCGAAGAAGTGAAAGAGAGGATGGTAATTATATCATTTATTAATATATATTTCAAAATTTTAGAAATAAATTATTTCTAATTTTTTTTTTTATTTATATTATATTCTTTTTTATAAATTATATTTTATTCTAATGTGAAATCATTATGTTATTTGAAAAAATAAAGCATTAAAATCAAATTGATTTTATTAACATCCTTTCCCAATATCTTTTTCCCTTGTCCAATTATTTCAAAAAAATGTAGAAAGAATGTACAAATTTGTAAAAAGAATTGTATCATATATATTTCAATAAAAACTATTTTTTAATAATTAAATACGTTTATTATTTAAACCTTTTTTTTTTCCACATCTCTTTTCTCCCTTACATCTCTTCCCAATATCTCTTTCCCTTGTCCATTTCGAAAAAATGTAGAAAGAATGTACAAATTTGTAAAAAGAATTGTATCATATATAGTTCAATAAAAACTATTTTTTAATAATTAAATGCATTTGTCATTTAAACCTTCTTCTTCCACATCCCTTATATCCCTTATTTCTCCTATTCTATTTTATCTAATCCTTTTACTCCTACACTCTTATTCCTCAACTCCTCATCCATTTTATACGTATATACTGACCCTTAGAATTAATTAAACTGTTAAAAAATACATTTCTGAAAGGAAATGCCTCGAAAAAGAGAAATATAAGTTAAATATAAGGATAAGAATTACAAGCTAAGTAAATTAATTATTGGTCAGATAAATTTCTGACCAAAATTTCTATCTAGTTTAAAAAATTCAAAAAATATAAAAATTTGATGTCATTTCCAAGAACTGCTAAAATTCTTGGAAAAAATTGGCGAACGACCTCCTATCAAGTTATGTTCTCCTAATACAAAGTGGTATTTTCGGCCAAAAATTTTGCCCGAGTTCATTCGTTTCGCGAACGACCTCCTATCAACTTATATTCTCCTAATACAAAGTAGTATTTTCGGCCAAAAATTTTGCCCGAGTTCATTCGTTTCGCGAACGACCTCCTATCAACTTATATTCTCCTAATACAAAGTGCTATTTTCGGCCAAAAATTTTGCCCGAGTTCATTCGTTTCGCGAACGACCTCCTATCAACTTATATTCTCCTAATACAAAGTAGTATTTTCGGCCAAAAATTTTGCCCGAGTTCATTCGTTTCGCGAACGACCTCCTATCAACTTATATTCTCCTAATACAAAGTGCTATTTTCGGCCAAAAATTTTGCCCGAGTTCATTCGTTTCGCGAACGACCTCCTATCAAGTTATGTTCTCCTAATACAAAGTCGAAAAATTTACAAAAATAAGTAATCATAAAAAATACATAAAAGGTAAGTAGTGGTAAGTATTTTTAGAATTAAGAAAACTGTTGAAAAAATATATTACCACAAAAGAAATAGCTGTAAAAGGTAAGTAAATAAAGAATTAATAAAGGTAGGTATAGGTAAGTATATTATAACAGATTTTGGAAACTACTTAAATTTTCGAAAATTTTTGTAAATAAACATTGAAAAATGTAAATAAACAAACCGCGAATGTAAATAAACATTGAAAATGTAAATAAACATTCCAAAATTTGTAAACAAACCGAAATTTCAACTCCCAGGCCCTGAATTCTTTAAATTTTCGAAAATTTTTGTAAATAAACATTGGAAAATGTAAATAAACAAACCCCGAATGTAAATAAACATTGAAAATGTAAATAAACATTCCAAAGTTTGTAAACAAACCGAAATTTCAACTCCCGGGCCCAGAATTCTTTAAATTTTCGAAAATTTTTGTAAATAAACATTGGAAAATGTAAATAAACAAACCCCGAATGTAAATAAACATTGAAAATGTAAATAAACATTCCAAAGTTTGTAAACAAACCGAAATTTCAACTCCCGGGCCCAGAATTCTTTAAATTTTCGAAAATTTTTGTAAATAAACATTGGAAAATGTAAATAAACATTGAAAATGTAAATAAACAAACCCAGAATGTAAATAAACATTGAAAATGTAAATAAACACTCCAATGTTTGTATACAAACCGAAATTTCAACTCCTAGGCCCAGAATTCATCAAATTTTCGTAAATAAATACTTACCTTTTTGTACTTACCTTTTTGTACTTACCTTTCTCCTTATTTATTTTTTGAGTATATTGATGCCTTTTTTAAGCATTTTTTTAACAATTTTCTTAAATCTACAGGAGGCAAGGATATGTAGGATATTTTTTTTATGTTTAGGATTGAAAGGTTTATCAAATAGGAAAACTTATTTATTTATTGAAAATATTTTTATTGATTGCAATACAATACAATGAAATTACAATAAAATTACAATAATCTTAATATTTTTTCGGTTTCGTATAATTATAATAGTTAATGAAATAATTTTATATAAACAGAAATAATTAATAAATTATATATACTATATATTAATATATAATATATATTATATATTAATATATTATAAAAATATCGTATAATTAGTAAAAAATACAATAATTACAAATTATAAGTATAATTTCGTTACAATACAAATTTCACATATATTTAATATATATTTATACATACAATACATACATACATACAATACAATAATTATATACATACAATATACAAATACATACATCATATAATATAATAAATGCATACATACATGCAATATAATAAATACATACATACATACAATACAATAAATACATACATACGTACATACATACAATACAATAAATACATACATACATACAATAT